ATCGGTATTAATTAAACGAGTCGTGTAGAGTAGTGTTCTGTAGTCTGTCTCACTCTTACTCATTTGTGTTTATGCAAACTACGTATGTCGGATAGATTTTATATTATTTACCTTTACTTAACACAATATTGTTAATTATTTTAAAAACGGTACATTATATGGCTACAGAAGCTGGATTTGTCCAAGAGCAATCTGATAATTTGTCAAAAACAGATGTTCTATAAAATATGTTTGCATGATTTCTTCCTCATTTTCTCATCCTTTCGTACATTAAATAGTTTGTTGGGGGCAGCTACAGTCTGATTAGAAATGAAAGAGAGTAATAAAAGCTCATTAGGTATGCAAATCGTAAATAAATGTAGTACTGTTGCTTATATTCAATATTTTTATAATATGCATTTTCGGTATAGATGAGGTCTACTTTTAACAAAACTTTGTGCGATCGGACTGTACTAAATTGTAGCAGGTAGCTAAAATTTAATCCCCGACAATCCGTCTTTGTCTATGCCGCTTCAATTTCTCGGTCCATTTCTCTTATAAGTAAACAATATAAAAACAGCATTTCAAAACATGAGGCTACTTTNCGTAACTTTATGTAATTCAAGATGGTGGAAACGCCCACTGGCGGCCATCTTGGAAACTTGAAAATAATTTCCAGCATTTTCCCTTGCCCACTTTACCTATAAAATTTTTTACCGTAGCTCTCTACGATCATTAGTTTCTGAGATAGATCCGCTTACCTCGCTTATTTGCCCACCCTGTACAAGTTGTCTCAAACTCAATGGGCTTACTTGGATACAAACAAAAAATTTAAACAAAATTTGGGACACGTGGTGTTAAATGGGATGAGCTAAGCTCCATTTTCAATCGAAAGTATTATATTTGGGATTTGACAGGAACGACTAATGACGTCATCAATTATAATTTTTCCAGAAACATGCAAAAATTTTTTACCGGTTAAAATGTTCTCTTTTTTCTAATAAACTTTTATTAGAGAAATTTTTTTGTATTACTTCCCGATTAGAAGTTATAAGCAATATCGCCCTAGAGTCTCAAAAGAAATACCATCTAAAAATCACATTAGCGGTGGAAGGATCAAGTAGTCGTTGGAAAATAATTGAATGTTCGTTGTTTAAAGTGCATAAATATTACAAAATACTTGTCATTACTTAATACGAACGTCGAACGTAAAATGTTTTCTCATTCAGAAAAAGTTGATATGCTAATTTACGGCGAGCCACAAACAAATTCAAGGAGCGCCTCATTCCTGATCATAGAATCTTTACAAGATTGGGGGCGACCTTGCGACGAAATGAAGACGCATTTTCTGTTCGGAAAAATCAAATAATTGACCGAATGGTAAGAAACAATGTTAATACAGCTAGATCAGGGGTCGACGATCCGCATGCGGCTCTTCAAGTTCCTCTAAAAACTAAAAGTTAAAGCGGACAGACAAGCAGCACATGAGTACACATAAAGACGCATATAAACTTCCGTATCCGATTTAAATTTGAAATAAAATGTTAAAAGCGGAAATAAAAATGTATGGCTCTTTGAAATTCATGAAATTTATATTTCTATTGCAGATGGCTCTTCCGGCTTAAAAGTTTGCCGACCCCTGTACTAGTTATGTCCTGTACAGATTTAGTTTCACGGAACTCACTCGGTTTCAAAAGTACAATACCTATGTACGTTTTCAGCCAAGAAATTTGAATAATTCTAAATATTTCGAATTTTCACCCCCAAGAACGGCAGTGACAACATTTTTAAAATTATGGCGATGTTTCGCATGGTACCAGCTATGTTCTGTACAGATTTAGTTTGGCGCAAGTCACTCGGTTTTGAAAATACAATACCTATGTACGTTTTCAGCCATGAAATTAGAATAATTCTAAATATTTCGAATTTTCACCCCCAAGAACGGCGGTGGCAACATTTTTAAAATTATGGCGATGTTTCGCATGGTACTAGCTATATCCTGTACTCACTTAATTTCGCGCAACTCACTCGGTTTCGAAAATACAATACCTATGTACGTTTTCAGCCACGAAATTTGAATAATTCTAAATATTTCGAATTTTCACCCCCAAGAACGGCGGTGACAACATTTTTAAAATTATGGCGATGTTTCGCATGGTACTAGCTCAGGGGTCGGCAAACCCCGCGGTTCGCGAGCCGCATGCGGCTCTTTCAAGTTCCTCTAAAGATTAAAAGTTAAAGCGGACAGACAAGCAGCACATGAGTACACATAATGACGCGTATAAACTTCCATTATCCGATTTAAATTTGAAATAAAATGTAAAAGCAGAAATAAAAATTCGTGGCTCTTTGAAATTCATAAAATTGATATTTCTATTGCAAATGGCTCTTCCGGCTTAAAAGTTTGCCGAACCCTGAGCTAGATTGTTACCGTATTTCTAACAAAATGCACGAAATTCTATACGGCAGCCTAGCCGGGAAGTGAATTTGGATAAATTAGCCGTGCAACGAATTTTAAAAACCAATGGGTATCATAACTACAAAATTCATAATTTGGAGTATTTGCCTGAGCGTCACATTGAAAACAGACTTAATTTTATAGCCCAAATTATAGTAAATGTAGAAATTGTTGATCAGAACCTTTTTCGGCACGTTCTTTGGACGGACGAAAGTCGTTTGTCAGTAATGGTTTGCCAAACAGATGTATCGAACACTACTGGTCCATTGAAAATCCCCATTGTGATTCTAGTCCAAAACCAAGGCCATTTTGGAGTAAATGTATGGTTTGGCATCATCAGTAGGCATTTAGTTGGGCCTTATTTTTATGAACATACATTGAACAGCGTGAGTTACCTAGATTTCCTACAAGAAGAACTTCCTGCACTTCTGGAGAATGTGCATTTGCAGCTAAGAAGAAACCTATGGTTTCAGCACCCCACAAGGCCAAGAGTGTGCAGCAATAATTTCAGTGGCCCGGAAAGTCGCCCGATTTAACACCCCTCGATTTTTTATCTCCCCTCGATACCTTCGCGAGGTATTAATCATTTGAAAGAAAAAATTACAAACGCTTGTAGTGAGTTAAACGGCGAAATGTTAACAAACGCAGCCGACAAAGAAGTCAGGCGAAGATTGGATATGTGTCTTGAAATTTAGAACGATATTGCTTTATAACTTTTAAACGGGAAGTAATAAAGAAAAATTTCATTAACAAAAGTTTATTAGAAAAAAGAGAAGTTTTTAACAGGAAAAATATTTGGGAAAAAATATATTTTTGATTGAAAATGGAGCTTACCTCATCCCATTTACTTTTTGTATCCCCACACAAGGCTGATGCTATCCAGTTTGAGACACCCTCTATATGTTGTTAAAAATTAATAATGTATGAAATATTGATGTTATTAATGATACACCTTTTAACTGAAATCGTGCAAAAAAGCGAGGAGAGGGATACAAACTTTTTTATTGCACAGGTTCTTGGAAAACCCACTGGAAATTATGTAAAAACCGTTAGGTTTGACATGGTCGTGGATAAATGTATTTTATTATACGTGGCATGATTGAAAAAGATCTGAAGCCTCCGATATAATTTTTCACACTTCTTTTTACCCGTCATGTCATTAGGAAGGTCACAACGTGAGTTTTTCGTACATGAAAAATGATTTGCATATTCTTTTAACCAAACATCAAGATAAATTCGTTTAGATTTCATGCTTTAGGGAGGAAATATCTGTAAATTTTCCCCAGAGAAAACCTTTTCGAAATAATAACACGAACCCACGCAATGATCGACTAATTTCCATACCACCAGACAACGTCAACATATTTTCGGGGAACATAAGGAAATAACTCGTAAGATGCTGCGTAAACCCGCAAATCGGGTTAATCCCTTGTTTGATCCTACCCCTTATCCTTATCCTCGTCCTGGAACATCGGGCCTAGAGGGGATTTTCTCTACATCCTAATTATATTAATATCAAGGTAGCTTTAACATCTAAAATTACAGGATGTGCTTTTATTGGGAAGAAAAAAAATAATTTGCAGCACCTCAAACAAAACTTCCCTGTTTTCCTGGAGCACTGTGTTTTGAAATTGAATCGATAAAAGCCTGATGGATTTAGAGAGAGTAACATTCGCGTGAAGTCGATCTGCCGTCGTAGCATTTTGTCTACATTCACTGTACACTCGACGCAAGATGTATCATTAACTGTTGTTTAAATAAATAAATAATAATATCCAATCACCTAGAAACTTATTTTAACTTTCACATTCACAAAAATGAATTTATTAGACAAAATAATACCGAAATTAATAAAAAATTTGTAAAAATAAGAAAAAGTATCGTTGGTTAAATTGACATATCTCGGTTGATTTTAATTGTACAAACTACTACCAGGCACCATTTTAAAGGTCTTGAAACCAGCTTTCATTTCAATATGGCATTACATATACCTAAATTGACTCAGAAAAAAGTTATAAGACGAAAATCGTCAAAAAAGGGTAAAAATTGGCCAAAAATCCAAAAAGTAGCCAAATTTGATCCAATTTATCTCGGTTTCTATTAGTCGTAGGTACTTCTATAAAGGCTTATTCTAAAGGAAAAAACATTAAAACATTAACTTTTTTTTCTGTGAAGCAATGCGTATACCTAACTCCTCTCAGAAAAAAGTTGTGGGCCAAAAACCGAAAAGAAAAAAACCGCACTTTTCGGGGTTTTTTACTCGTTTTTTGGGCATATTTTTGTTAAAAATAATTTTTTTTTGACTTCAAAACGCCTCATTTCGATTGGAAATTCAATATACTACAACTTTTCTGTTGACAATTATTAGAAAAAATTCATAGTTTTCGAGTAAAACTCAAAAAACTGAAAATAACACCTTTTTAATTCATTCTCAAAAACGCAGCCCTTTAAAAAGTAGCACTCCGCGGTTTTATCATTTTTAGGGTCAATTGAACATATCAAACAATAAAATTTCTGTTACGTTGTAGTTCCTATCTAAAGTATATAGTCAATAGCCTTTTACCTCAATGGCTTCTTGAACCTCGCTCCCGGAAGCTGGGTGTGAGCCGGAAACTACCACGAAGCGGTGCCACTGAAATGCTCTTAGAAGGGCGACCACGCTTTTGGACACCTTGCTGGATGGCGGCAGGGTCCTGGCGAAGGTAAAGAATATCCTTTTGTCGGATACTCTGGTGTCGCTGCATCTCTGCAAAAAAAAATGAGGTGTAAAAAGTGTAGAATATTTAATCATTGGTAATTTAAAAGGAATTTGTCCCAAAAAAGTAGAATATAGTAGTAAAAAAGTAGTATATTATTGTGTATTCCATTTTGTGCAAAGAAACTGTCATCGTATACAGGGTGTTTCACGGTGACGGCCCATTAGAATTATTTCAGAGACTACTTCGATTTGAATTTTGAAAATTTGGGATACCGGGTTTTCGGGCATGCCCTTCTCAATTAAAATAATGGCGTCCACGTACCACTTCCGGTTATACCGTAAGTCGCCATCAACTTGCTTATTTTAAATCGATCACCCTGTATAATATTGCAATTTTGGATTCTACGTGTTATTTTAGGTGGACTTTTATGAAGTTTCGCTGTTCCTAACCGTTTTCGAGATATTTAATTTTTTTCAAAAAAATGGAGAGAAACAGTGACTAGCTTCAAACCATGTTACACCAGGAAAATTAGCGAAAATAAAAGAGAAACTGGGAAAAAGTCCTATCCGCGAGATTAGTGTAAAATTGTCTAAAGGAACATAATACAAGACATCTCTCATCTTGTGAGTCAAAAACTTTTATTAGCTAACTTTTTTATTTAAACAAATAAGTGAGGAAAACAGTTTTTTCACTTTGCAGGGAAAACCATCAATTTTAGCGCAAAGTGACTCACATACAGCTTGTAGGGAGTAAAATTATCTACAAAATGAGACTTGTTAAATTAAAATCGGTTAATAAACAAAAAAGTTATTGCAAAAAAACAAGAAAAGTGCCCATTTTTTAATTTGTTTATAACTATCGCATTTATTGTTAAAATTTTATAAA